TTTTTTTTTTTTTTTTTTTTTAACTAAGCTATATTCTTCACTCAATTTCACCTGTTCACTACCTACCTACCACTACTCCTAAGCCTATACAGGGGACCCCTGCAAGCATAGCTGCCTCTCACAATCAAGGGGATGCATGTTCCCCCCCTCCCTAATCGGCGTTGGTGGTCAGGGAGTGGAGTCMCCCCCCCCCCCTCCCCCCACACCACCAAAAAAAAGGGATAATGACCGGGCGTTCTATTCAGGTGAAGAGTCTGAAGACGGTGGAGTAGAGGCAGTATGCCCTGCCTAGTTACCTCTGGCGGTCAGCTAGAAGGCCAAGTCTGGCCTATTTAGGCGAGACTGTTCCCGTGGAGGYCGGCGTGTACTCCTTTCCGTTCCAGGTCGCTTATGGCCATTATGTGCTAAGCTTTGCGCTTCTACTTGCTGATGTGAATGGCCATCATGTGCTAAACTCTGCGCTTCTACTTGCTGATGTGAAAGCAGGAAGACGGGAGACGGCTACTTCGAGCACAACGTGTAATACGTGCAAGTAGCCCCATGCAACAGGTGCCCATGCAACACGTGGCTTTGCTCGGTCCGGGAGTGTGGAGAGTCAACGTTCACGTGGTTGTGACGGCGATGGTGGTCAGGCTGCTAGGCTGAAGGCGCATAGAACGCCCGGTCATTATAGCCGTATTTGGTGCAACTTTCGGTCCAGATACGGCAATAATTACAGCGCGTTCTATTCGGGTGAAGACGGTAGGCTGAAGGCGAACTTGTGGAGCATCTTCAAGTTGAACTGAGCTGATAGGTTGCGATCGGGACCTTGCAGCGCCGGCGTTTCAGAGTTGCGATCTGGGTGGCTTCGGTTGGAGAGAGGGGATGGAGGGAGGGAGGGAGGGAGGAAGGGAGGGAGGGGGAGGGAAGGCTAGGCTGCGATTCGGTTCACTGGCTCGAGAGCGGGCGATGCGAGCGTCTACAGTTCTTGAACGTGGACACAGTGGGATGGGATCTTTATAGTACGACTTTCTTTCAGGCGTCCTTGTTATCTTGCGGTTTATACTGCCCTCAACGGCTGCACGGGCATTTACTATGGTAAAACTGATAAGCAGTGGATGAGGTAATTTTTGCGAGGGCGAGGGCGGCAAGTCCAACTTTAGAAGCTGAAGGGCATGCTTGATTGAACTTCTGAATCCAGCATGCACGTTTGACCGCTGCGTCAGTCTACTGAAGCCAGGGGCATTTACAGTGGGAAGTAGTGGATGAGTTAATAGTGCGAGGGCGGCAACAACACCAACTCCAGAAGCTGAAGGGCAACAGGCTGGGCCGCTGGGTGGTGTGCAGAAGCTGAAGGGCATCCACGTTTGACTCTCTGGGTCAACGATGAGTCGAGCACCAATAGCTTGTTGGTGTGGGAAAGGAGCGCTGCACGCAGTTAACTTGACGGAGGACCGAGCACGTACAACTGGGAGCAGAGGGTTATGTCTGTATAACAAATGGTGTTGAGTTTCTTACAACCAAGCACGGAGCCGTAGAACGGTACTTACTTGAAGTCGCTTCTGATTGACAATAGAAACGGGAACGGGGGAACAGCCTGGGTTGTGGTCCAGACTCCAAAGCAGGAGCAGAAACAAGATCATTGTCGTCCAAGTGCAGCTGGTGTTGATTCGGGTGTCACTGATTGCAAACCTGCGAGGAACAGGAACCCGGTCGTGGTCCAAGACCGGGAACAGAAACTGAACCAGGAGTGGACGGTGGACCTGGTGCTGCTTCTGGAAACGGGGGAACAGCCTGGGTTGTGGTCCGGACTCCAAAGCAGGAACAGAAACAGGATCATTGTCATCCAAGTGCAGTGCAGCTGGCGTTGATTTGTTGATTCGGGTGTGTAACTGATTGCAATTTGCAAACCTGCGAGGAACAGGAAGTGTCAGGAACCGGGTCGTGGTCCAAGACTAGGAACAGAAACTGAACCGGGAGTGGAGGCTGGACCTGGTGCAGTGGTGCTGCCTTGGCAACAAGACAAGTTTGGAGGACCAACGTGGGTCGGGTACCAAGCGGCGCAAGCCGGACCAAGCGGCGCAAGCGGGACCAAGCGGCGCAAGCGCGGCCAACCAAGCGGCAAAGGGGAACTTCAAGTCGAACTTAGAAATAGCAGGAACATAGAACAGCCGCCTCCGAGTCCTTGGGTCAAGTTGGGTGAAGGGTGCACACTGCACACTGCACTCGACTCGAGCGGTCCGGAGTCCGGAGAGCAAGTTGTTGTTGGGCGTAAGGAACTTGCCACAACTCGCCACCATGGTCTTCGTGCAGCTGGCCATTGCGCTGGTCATCCTTGTGGTGGCCTGCACCAACCCACTCGTCTTTTGCGGCACCATTCTCTGCTCTCCCCTTCTCTTATGCCTGGCATGCCTCTGTCTACCACTTCTCGGACCTTTTCTCCTCAGCCCGACCCCGATTGTGGTCCCCACGCCGTTCGGGGTCCCGGTACCGATGATCTAGTTGGCAGTTGCATAGATGCCCCCCCGTTTCCATGCACCACGAGGGTAGCACTCGTCGACTACATAGGTAGTAGAAGGAAATGGACGTATCTGACCTCCATCGCGTCCAAGTGCAGTGCTAGTATGCCCCGAGAGTGGTAATCGTGGAGTCGTGGACTAATTAGGAGAACCGAATGGGTGATCATCCACCGAGTCAACCGTCGTCCCCTCTCGGCCTATTCACAACCATAGGTAGTAGAAGGAAATGGACGTATCTGACCTCCATCGCGTCCATGTTCCTGAGGCAATTCTCAAAGACTCGAACGCTTCCACGGAGTCTAGCGTCGTCCCCGCCCGGTCTGTCTGTTCACAACACCTCCGACTTTCGTTGACTCAGTTTCAGAACTTTCAGGCGTTGACCTGATGGAGAGGTCCGATGTAAAGACGGTCCGACTGGTGGGGGTAAGGATGCGGGATCCCTACTGGTGGTCAGTGGTGGATGAAGGTGATGACAGGCGATGGAACGTGCTGGGATCACGATCAGCCGCGATTTCCTTCTCGGTCGGGGTCGGAACTTCGTGGCACGGAGAAGGAGAGAGGTCTTGCTTCGAGAGCCTCTGCTGGTTGAAGGGGACACATCTGGTGGCCGGACTCCGGAGGGATGGGTCCCTTTTTCTATTTTTGCTGTGTGTCTAATAGTGTATGCGTTTGCGTCTCCCCCTCTCTCACTCACAAACAAACACGGAGGGGAGGGGGAGAGAGAGAGGGAGGGGGAGAGAGGGGTGTGTGTGTGTGTGTGTGTGTGTGTGTGTGTGTGTGTGTGTG